CACTTTTATTCTAGCATTGAAAAAGTTAAGTTTTTAAGAAATTGGAAAAGTGGTTTGTTTACCATTTTCATTACCCTTAGAGTTAGAGATCTATTTCTGTGGCACTGACATTCCATTAAAAATAGTGGCATCACCATGGGGTTGTTAGGTGAATGAGATTTTTGTGTGTAATTTCCACAGAAGTGGTTAGTTATGTGACATTTTCCCCTTTAGTTTCAGTGCTCCAACATTTGTAATACATAATACTTAAAAGTGAGGAGATTATAAAGAGTATAATCTTCCTTTTACACAGAAACAAAGAGAAGGAGCCTTTATAGCAAAATTTATTCTGCCTTTGGCTATGAGGAGAATTGTGTTTTACATTGGAACTGTAAACATTTTAAGTCATGGAAAGACATCATTAAGTTTTTCTACTTTTACATGCAGATGTAACTTACTTAAAACAGTAGATTTGTGACTAGGAGGTTATATGTAAGTAGAATGCTTGTAAGTGCTACCTTATATAGGGGAACTGTTAGGGAAAGGATTTACATGGTCAGTACTCTTAGTAAAATGTAAATTCTTGTATTCAAAACATTTAGCAGCCTCTGAAGGTGCCCTTTTGTTTTAATTTGAATTTACCCTGGATTTCTTAAAGTGAGCCTAGTCAGCTCAGCTGATTTAAAAAAAAAGGTTTATCCCTGAAATTAAGTGAACAGTTCACTTAACCAGGGGAGACGGTCCTCATTTTCATCAGGTCCTAAAAGGTGGTCCTTGACTCAGTCCATAAATTAAGGCTAAAGAATTGCTAGATGAGGGTATGCTGGTGGTGATATCACAGCTCTGAGTTCTTCCCTCTTCTTGGGTGAACCCACTCTGCACTGCTTTCTGCAGCTGTCTTGACATCAGGCCAGAGCATTGAATTCTGCATGCAGGACAAGATTAGTAGGTTGCATTGTCTTTTATTGGAGGAACTGGATGCTTTCATCCTGTGTTACAATTAGGCAGTCTGGCTGCTGTACTAGGTCTGCTGTACTAGGTCCAATATTGTCTCATCTGAACTTATGGTGAGACACCTGGCACCTGTGAATGTGACCTTATTCGGAAATGGGGTCTTTATAGATGTAGTTCAGTGAAGATAAGATCATACTAGATTAGGGCTCACCCTAATCTAGTGGCTGGTGTCCTTAAGAGGGGAAGTTCGATAACAGACATACAGGGAGAATGCCGTGTGATGATGGATGCAAAGACTGGAGCAATGCATCTACAAGCTAAGGAATGCCAAGGATTGTTGACAACCACCAGAAGCTAAGTAGAGTCAAGGAGGAATTCTCTAGAACCTTTGGAGGAAGTGTAGCCCTGCCAATAGCCAATAGCTTGATTTCAGACTTAGCCTCCAGAACTGACAGAGAATACATTTCTGTTGTTTTAGGCCACCCAGTTTGTAGTACTCTGTTACAGCAGCTCTAGAAAATGAATACAGCTGCTAATAACATAACCTGCATCCCCCTCCAAAAAATAGACAAATCAGGAGGTTACTTTTTTTCCCCACAACTAAAAGAAGCCCATAGGTAGACAGTCTAAACAGGGACAGTGGCTCCATGATGTGTTCCAGGTGCCTCCTTAAACTGTGATCCCTATCACAGCTTTTGCCTTCACCACCACTCCCCTTCTCAACTTACCCCTGCAAGCACCACCACTTCTACTCTTGAATAGATGGATCTGTGAGAGGCTCACAGCAAAACAGGGCATGACTAGGACTTCCTGGTTCACAGGTTTTTCAGGCAATGGGGCCAAAATGATTTGGGAAGATCTTGTGCAGACACTGATACTTCTGTATTGGGATGATAAATCTATGTCCCTAAACTCACGTGTGCAGAAATTGTGCTCTAAAACTTCATCCCCACCAATGATAATCAAAGGCCTTGAACTTGCCAGTTAAAGGCAACTCAGTCTCTTATAGACTAACCATTTTTTTCTGAGCAAGTGCCCACACTTAGTTTCTCTACTCTGTCTCTTCTCCCTGCCAAGATGGTGCCAGGGTTCTGGAATGGGCTCACATGTCTCTTTGGTGTTTGCAGAAGAGCTTCTGAGTGTCTTCTAGGTCCTTGTCTCCAAAGAGAGCTTTGTGTTCCTGTACATTTCTGGGTTTCATTTTCCACTACAGCCACTGACTGCCCTGTATGCCCATAGACTGTGACCTAAAGGCCGTTGGTCCTTGTTGCTGCTGGCCATGGGCCCCGCCACTACACTGGGGGCCGAAGCCAGGCAATTTGGCCACATCTTCTTGTTTTAGGATGTGTTCCACAGCAGACTATCAAAGGGGCAAGCAGGAGACAAAGGTCTAGTTAGGACAGCAGTTTACATTGGTTTCTGCAGATTCCCCCTTTGTGCTGGCCTCTGCCCTGTGGGTATGACCTCCAGGGGCACTTTCTTTAGTTCCTTGAACCCAGGAAGCCCCCTATTCTTCCACCAAATATCCTGATGCTCCTGATTCCACTTGCTGAGCTTCCTTTGGGGCCCTGGGAGCAGTCTCCTTGCTGCCCCCACCTACCCAGTAGGAGCTGGGAAACCTGAGCCCACCTTTCAGCTCAGCAGGGACAAAATCCATTTCCCTGTCTAAGCATCCAGTGCTATGTGCCATGCTGCCTCTGCCAGCCCTCAGGCCCTCACAGCTCAACCTGAAAAGCCATAGCAGTCCTGCAAACAAAGTCATCTTTCTCAATCCTCTAAAACAGGGGTTCCTGCTCCTGGGTCGTGCACCAGTACCGGTCGGTGGCCTGTTAGGAACTGGACTGCACAGCAGGAGGTGAGGAGCACGTGAGCCAGCATTACCACCTGAGCTCCACCTCCTGTCACATCAGAGGCAGCATTAGATTCTGGTAGGATCACAACCCTATTGTGAACTGTGCGTGCGAGGGATCAGGGTTGTGTGCTCCTTGTGAGACTCTAGTGCCTGATGATCTGAGGTGGAACAGTTTCATCGCAAAACCATTTCCCCCACCATTTGTGGAAAAAAAATGTGTTCCATGAAACCAGTCTCTGGTACCAAAAAGGTTGGGGACTGCTGCTCTAAAAGACCTACAGAATTGGTTCTTGTGAATTTTCTGCAGTTGCTTATTGTTAATGTCTTGTTGAGTGGATTCTATTTTGTTTTTTTATTGAGAGAAAACAAATTGTTACAGGCTTTTAAGGAAACCAAAAACATTTGCTCTCTGATTACATCTGTCATTCCATTCCCATTCGGCTTGCTTTCTTGTTTTGTAGCAGGCCATTCTAATAGCCAAAACTACAGTCAAGTTTTCTCAATAAGTAAAAGCTGTTGCTTTTCTGCTACAGTATGTAAGAAGACTTATCACCCTGGTTTATGAATTTAGTCTTACTGAAGATTCTAATAAATTATCAGGCTGGAGGCATGTTGATGGTATCAGTCTTTGCCCTGTCCCTTACGGAAATACTTTTTGGAAATATTTAGAATAGTAGTGTTTTGATATGCAAGCTCCAAGCATGTTTTTTCATGTTCATTTATTAATTCATTCCATCAGTCCATAAATACTTATCATGTACCTGTAATGCACCAGGCATTTATTCTGAGGGCTGGAAATAGAGCTCTGAGCAAGAACACCTCGGAGTTTATATCCTGTTAGGGGGAGATTGACAGTGAATAAACCAGCAAATACATGCATCAGACAGTGACAAGTGCTTATAAATACAGTAAAACAGATGGTATGGTAGAGACTGGAGAGTCCTTTAGGGGCTTCTTTAGTCTGGGTGGGCAGGAAGGCTGCTCTGAGGAGACAACACTGAAGCAGAAAGTTGAACAATAAAGAGAAGCCTGTGTGCATAGATTTGGAGCAAGAGCCCCCAGGCCAAGGGCACAGTGCACTGACCCTGCCTCTGCCAGTGCAGGGCATCGAGCAAGTGAGGAGTGGTATATTAGCCCTAGTAGCTATACGGAGCCAAGCATGGAATCCAGGAGTCCCGTAGCAACTGGAACAATCTTAAGTGAGTGACTAAGAATGTAGCATGAAAGACATTGTAAGTGGGGCATTTTTTTACACCACAAAGAATAAGAAAGCAGATGTTAATGGAGGGTGAACATGCTCACTGTAGTGATTCTCAGATTGGTGTATCTATCAGCATGTTTTTAAAAATGTGTTTTAATTGTGCTCTCCTCCCTTCCTCCACCAACACATTCTCTTGTACATCCCCAGGAAACTAGGCTTTCCTCCCAACCCCGGCTCCTTGTGAGAATCCTGCCTCAGAATGCCACAGTTCCTGCTAGAGCTGTGTGCATCCCTGCAGGCAGATGAAAGCAAGGAAGGCTAAGGACCACTGAGTGTTTAACATACCGACAGGCAAGCAACTCAGTGCAGTGCTGAGCCTGGTGGTCAGAAGCTGGCTTGGTGGGTTCCTCAGATCAGGTCTGGAGGAAAGACTTCTCATGTGGCGGCTAAGTCTCCTAGAGGAGACTCCATAGACACTGTCATCTAATGACAACCTGTAGTGCCATGAGGTTGGCCTCTCATTTTTACTATCATGTTGAAATGGCAACATGTTTTATGTTATAAATCCTTAAAGACAGTTTCTTTATTAATTTCAGTCACCTGGAAGGAATTGGTCTTTAGAGAGAGGTGAGGTAACATCATTGACCCATGAGGCTATATAGGAAGCCCAGGCTGAAAAGCTTCCTCCTAGAGATTAGATGAATGGCCCAGGCTGTCGGCCACATCATGTCAGCAAGAGGTACCCAGATCTCTTGTTGGAAGTGAAGACACATCTGTCATGATGAGAGCACATTCATGGAATGTTGGAGGGGAGGCTGTGTGTATCAGGCCTAGTGCTGCCCTCTCCACTCAACGCTGCAGCTTCCCCATCTGCAGTTTGCAGAGCATCCTCTGTGGGAATAGTTGCTGTGAGATTTGGCAGAAAACTTCCCAAGCCTGTCTGAAGTTACGGTGTGGCAGCAGGTAGGTTATGCTCGGAGCATTGGTTATGAAATGTCATTCTTCTATTTTCAGTAAATATTCAAGATGTGATATTACAAGAAAATTTGGAAAAAGAAGATCAAATTCTGGTTTCCCTGGCAGGATTAAAACAGGTATATGCATTGCTCTGACACTATTTCTTTGTGTCCCTCCTGCTGTGGGGATGGACTCCCAGGGCATGTAGCACCATGTTAGAGCCAGCATCCCCCTAACCCTTATTTCTTCCCAGACAGAGCCCCTTCTGCATCTCCACCTCTTTATGCCCCCTGTTCCTTCTAACAATTATATCTGACTAGCTTGCAACCCACACTGGTTTTCCATTTTCCACACCTCTCCTTCCTCTTACCAAACCCATTCTATTTGTTCCTTACCCAAAGCTAGTGTGGGTAGACCAGCATCATATTCAGTCATTCATCCATGAATTCATGAATGTCTTTGGAGCACAAGTCATAATTAGTACCTACAGCAGGCCTTAGACCCTCAAGGACCACATTGACCCAAGCCTTGAAGATCTAAATGAAACATAAATGTCAGTGAAAAAGAGTATGCTGTTTCCAGATGCCTACCTATGCTATGAACAGTCCAGCTCAGGTGGAGCCACTTTAGTGAGTAAGCTGTGCAGTGGGAGTGGGTGTGGAGGCAAATTATGCTTCCTGTTTTAAGATAGTGTTAAGTATGTGACTCCCATATGTGACCCTGCGAGAACTTGGCTGTTAAATGTCCTGACGTTTTTCTTGCTCACTGCTAAGCCAGCAGCTTTGATAAAATTAGATTTTTTCTCATTATTTCTTATAGTAAAATACTAATATTCATACTATTAAAAATGATGGATGACACGGCTAGTTTAAATGTCTGAGAGATTTAGCTAGCATCTGAAAACAAACTCATCCATTTTATTCATTTATTTTCTTCTTCTTTGAACATAGATCAAAGACATTCTAAAAGGTTCCCTGCGTTTTAACCAGAGCCAGCTAGAGGCCGAAGAGAACGAACAGATCACCATCGCGGACAACCACTACTGCTCCAGCGGCCAGGGCCAGGGCCGAGGCCAGGGCCAGAGCGATCAAATGTCTGGGGTCATTAAACAGGTACAGAAGCTCTGATGCACATGTTACATTAACTCAAAGGGAGCACATTCACATAAGTTCCTCAAAGTTAAGAATCATATAAACCCTATCAAAGTTACTTCAGATTATCATGTGTGAAGTTCAGCTGTGGAGGTGCTGTGTAGAGCTGTGCAGCCTGTGCACTCTGTGCTGCAGGGGGTGCCATTCACAATGATACTGATGAGACAAGTGTCTCCTAGAGTCATGCGGTAAGTGCCCTACAAACGTGTATGCAGCAGTGTTGCCTGAGCCTCCTGCCATGCCCATTCTGTGGGATGGGAGAGCTGGATCTCTGTCTTGGTTGTCAGTTGCCTCCAGTTGATGCCTCTTTTCCCCTTTAGGAAGTACTGTCTACGCTTTCCTAATGCTATCTCCAGTGGATTTCACTTTACTAGAACCTTTTTTGCCAAACTTACTTTCTTGCCTTCATGGGGAGGGACTTCTCATTAATGTCTGCCATCTGGGGCAGGGGTCTGTAAAGGCCTTCAGAGTAAGTATTTCAGGATTTGCAGGCAACATACGGTCATCTGTGTCACATATTCATTGTTTTTTTCTGTGTGTGTGTGTGTTTGTATCTTGTTTTTGCTTTATCACAAGCCTTTAAAAATATATAAACCATGCTCAGCTTGGGGGCCATGCAAAAACAGGCCATAGGCTGGATTTGGCCATAGTGTGCTGACCCCTACTCTCAGATGTCGACATTGTATATCATTTATTTTATCACAGAACCACAGAATTTCCCAGCTACAAAGGATCTTCCTACAGCTTCCTTATGTGCCTAGTCCTGCCTGCTCATTTAACCAGTGAGAAAATGAAGGTCAGAGAGACACACACACAGGCTCCGAGGCCAGAGGCACTTAGCCTGCCAGGCATTATGTTTTCAGAAACCCTGCCCCAACCCAGTAAGCTTCAGTCCCACCATGCTGCCTTGCTGTCCATTATCCGATAAGACAAAGAGATTGTTCATTTCCCACCTATATTTTAAATTATTAATAATATTTTTTAAATCAGCTTACAAAGTTTCATCTTGGAAAATGAACATTAGCAAAATATTATCTAAGTCACTTTCTCAAAAACTAGCATTCAGACACTTGTAAATTATTTATTTTTTGTGTGATTTTAAAACAGCAAAATGACATTTGAGTGGGAATGTTTTTCAGTTTTAAGGGTGCTCTTCCAGAAGAGAGACTCCGTGGGTGACTTCCGCTTGAGGCCGTATGAAATGTTCATGGAGTGCTTTGGCTCTGCGTTTGTAGCCACATGAATGCGACAGTGACACTGCCAGTTTAATTGCATTCGTTTCTTCACAGATTCTCCTTCCTTGCACAGATGTTTTATTTTTCAATAATCATTTACTTATTCAAATATTACTGAGTGTAGGCCCAGCCACAATGCATTTATAATTGAAAATTTTATTTAAAACCTTAGCATAATTTTTTAGTTGAGTGTGTCAGTTTGCTACAGAAAAAAGATATTTTAAAATCACTAATGAATTTGTTAAATTTAAAACTTAATGGTTATACTTTGCAGTTGTCATCCCTGGTTTCTGTATTTGTAAGAACCTACCAATGACCACTGCCGCCCCGGTGGACGCCGCCGTACATACCCAAGATAAGCTAGCCATGAGGTGTGTCTGTGTGAATGAAACTGCGCCCTTGTTCTGGCAGGGCCCCATCACGTGCAGCATCCAAGAGAGACACTGCACCTCTGCATGTGCTTCTGAGACACAGTCTGCCCTTCCTGGGGCTGAGACCCCACAAGTGAAAATAAAATGGCTTATCTTCTCTACCACTTCTCTGCCATGGCCCTTCCCCATAGCTGTTAGCAGTTTATACAAAGCCAGTACTCCTGGAAAAGGTTTTACTGCAGAAGAGAGAAACAGAGAAGCAGTGCTCTCCTCTCTCCTTCAGGGAAATCTTGAGATTTCTTGAGAGAATTCCTGAATTCAAGCAAGCAAGTCAGAAAGAAGCCAAGTGCATGGGGCCTTCCACTGCAAAACCCAAGGATCTGGGCTAGGCTGATAAAGGCCCAGGGGGTCTACCAGGCATGAGATAGCTGCCAAGTACCCACCTTCTTCCTGCAGGAGCTAACTCATCAGTGCTTGGAGCTGGCTAGGTTTTCCTCCTCACTGCTTGTGGGAAGAGATACAGAGGGCTATGGACAGGCTACACCCAGGAACATGCGTCCCAAGAGAGCCAAGTGGGAGTTCTGAAGGCTTCCAGGGCCTGCTGTGCCAGGAACTGGTTTTACTGTCCAAGACTATGGGATATATCCCCTGCTCTCATGAGCTCCTAGTTATGGAGGGCCAGGGCCTAGGGGAGCAGTGCTAGGCAGGTTCTTGACACATTGGAGATGTAAGCACCACATGTTGGGTTTGTAATGGGTTGTATCATAGCACATTCCTAACTTAGGGATGGGTTTTCGTTGCTTTCTTGGTTAATCAGTAAATAATGTCTAAAAGATAGTACAGAAGGACCAGGCTCCCCTGCCTAGTGACACATGGCTCATGGTCCCCCTGCCAATGCCCTTCCTCAAAAGCAACTGTGAAAGTGTTCTTCCGTTGTGGGAATTCACATGCCCTGCTCCTCACTGTAAGGTTGGTGTGACATGGCTCATCGTGTTCTTTCTGTTTGGTTTGCAAATCTTACCTCCAGCTCTGAAAACAGCAGTCTTGTGAAATTGTATTCTATAGAGTGAGAAGAGCTACACGCTCTCCCTCCCTTCTCAGCATCTATCCTCACACATTCGTTTGGGAAGTATTTGATGAACTAACTCAAATCAACTACAGTAGAAGGCAGACTTTGTGGGACCCTGGGTCCATTAGTCAGCCAGCACATAACTTGCCCTTTTGGTACTTGGGTCCCCTCTTTTAATCCGCATATTGTCTACTATTACAGCTACCAGCCACATAGCGATTTAAATTTAAATGCACTAAATTTCAATAGAATTAAAAATTCAGTTCCTCAGTCACACTAGCCACTTTTCAAGTGTTTGGCATCCACTTGTGGCTAGGGGCTGCTGTACTGAGTAGCACAGATAGAGAGCATTTCCATCATCATGGAAAATGTCTGTTGAACAGTGCTGGTCTATAGTTGGGCTCACCTGCTTCTACAACCATCCTAAACTCAAGCTGTGAAACGGGGTAGGACTGGGAAGATGGCAGACAGTGGGTAAGAGGGATATGTGTTGTGATGATCCTGGCTAGTTTTAGGCAGGACTGACAGGTTGAAGACTTTTCTAATTGTGTAAGACTTACCCATATCTGGTAAAAAGAGAGGATTGACCTAGGGATTTACAACACTTCTGTAAATGTTATAAATGGCACCAGATAGCAGTTAAGGCTGCTAGAGAAGTCCATAAAGAAGTCAGCTCTGCATCTAGAAAAAAATTATAGGTGGGAGTCCAGAAGAGTAGGGTCTTTTGTTGTGCCTTGTGACATTGGCCAAGCTACCAGGTCTCTTATTTGGGTTTGTTTGCTTGATCTGTAATGCAAAGGGGCAAGGAGAGGGGTCAGTAAAAGAAAATGCCTGCTAAGGACCTGTCAGCTCTAACTTGCTTTGTCTGTGAAGGCAGTCTGTGACCTTCATCTAGGAACTGGGGGGAAGCATGCCAAATACCTAGAGTAATGGTAGAAACTAGCTTTACTTTTAGTCATGGGCTTTGAAAAGTATATCTCCACTTCAGAATCTTACTGACACCTTTACTGTAAGCTAAAGGAGAATAAGTGATCTCAGTATCGCTGAAGCAGAGGCACCACTCTAAAAACTAGGCCCTGCTGAACGTGCTCTTCTATTTTCAACCTAGGATAAGCTCCACCAAGTAGCATTCCAGCCCTGTGTTGTGGTGAGAGGTCAAGATTTTCACAGTTTACAGTGCAGGACAACTGTCCTGTGAACAAAGTGTCTACACTCTGGAAGAAGTCAAACCCAGGGGCCTCTGTTGATTCCCCAGCAGCTTTCAGTGCACTCCCCAAAGGCAGCACGGCTCTTACCAGGTGCACCTTCTATAGAGACAGTCATGGGGAAGAGATTTTAGTTCTTTTCCTCCAACTCAGAAAAAAGACAGTCGTTCTCTACCAAACAGCTCCAGTGTGATTTGAGATCACATCCCCTGCTACCAGATTACCGCGTGCTACGTTTTTCTTCGCTTGTGTAGGAGTTAATGTGTTGATAGAATGTTAGCAGCTTTAGAACCTGAGATGAAGAACCTCAAGGCCTGTTGCAGCTCTGTGATCTTAAAGGCCAATTTTGTTTATGTTCTCCAACTGAATATCCTAAAGGTTGGTGAATCATTAGAGGTGGAAGGTTCCTGAGCCATTATTTAGCCACTCGCCCCCTACATCACTGAGGAGGACGTGAGATTTAGAGAGGGGCCTGTCAGTCAGGGCTCAAGGCCAGATTTTCCTGAGAGCTGTTACTCATTCCCCTTCTTGGCTCTGCACACAGCCCACAGATGGCCGAGGCCATGCCAGTCTGGAGGCCCAAGGACTCAGGAGACACTTCCAGTCAGGGGTCTCCATATATCTCATTAGACTGGAGACCCCAGCACGAGACTCCACCCACACTGTGGGGAGGGTAGGCCAGCAGGGTGAGGGAGGCAGGTGTGGGCACTATATCACCTTACAGCACCACTGGGTGAGGCGTTCTTTCTGCCAGGCTGGCACTGGATGTCCTTGGTCAAACTATGGCTTTGCTAACCCAAAACCTTTACCTGTGTTCGTGGATGTTAACTTTATTAAGTTAAAAAATAAAAAGCTACTCATAATTGCTTAGAAAGAAAAGAAAATAATTGTTGAGTAAAGCAATTCTATCTCCATACTTTTTGCCATTATACTTTGCAATTGCCATTCTTGGTTTTCCCATTCATAGAACCTGGTGGTTACCACCATTGCTCCAGGAGACCCCTATGTGCATACCCAAGATGAGCTAGCAATGAGATCTATATGAGATGAAATACATTAGGCCTTCTGAAAGCTATCCTTCTAGCCAGTAATAAAATCACTCCAGATCTGGCAGCTCACATTAGGGAGCCAGCAGCTGCCCATGTCATCTCACTATATCATGACAACACATTAGGAGGAAGACACTGTCTTTATCCCTGTTTCACAGATGAAAGTTAAAGTTCAAGAAGGATGGGTGATTTGCGTGGCAGGGTCCCACATGAGGCTGGTAGGGATTCTGCCTGCAACCTGTTGGCCAGCTCCTGAACCTGGCTCTCCCCAGCAGCACAGGCACTGCCTCCGTCTGAAGCTTGTCAAACAGGAGCTTTACTTTGTTCCCTCAGGGAAGCCAGCATTTGGCTTTGGAGGGGCTTACAAGATGCTGCTGGCACCGCACCACTGGTAAATGCGTGGGCTTCGGGGCAGCAGGTCAAACACTGCGTCTTTCAAGATCGAATGTAGGCTGAGGTGGCCTAGCTTTCCACAGCGCGTCCCCCAGTTCACAGGGCCTTCCACTCAGTTCTTTGCTGGTTTCTTCTTTCATCCACCTGTACTTCTGACTGCACTTCACAGGCCTCTTCAGAAACGCCAGGGTGCACCGATAGAGGGAGTTCCGATGACTTCATCCTGATTTCCAAAGAAGATGATGGGAGCAGTGCCAGGGGCTCCTTCTCTGGCCAGGCCCAGCCTCTTCGCACCCTCAGAAGCTCCTCTGGGAAAAGCCAGGCCCCAGCCTGCTCCCCACTGGTGTTCTCAGATCCGCTGATGGGCCCAGCCTCAGCTTCCTCCAGCAACCCCAGCTCCAGCCCTGATGACGACAGTAGCAAGGACTCTGGCTTCACCATTGTGAGTCCCCTGGACATCTGACCACAGTGCCCAGTCCTGCCCCACAGGGATCCAGCCACCCTTTAGTGGCCCCAAGGCCAGACTGAGGCTTGCCCAGTGGAGACCCTTCTGAAACCACTGCTTCCTTCCCGGCATGCATTTGGCATTGGTCCAGCCCTTTGAAACCCCTTAGAGAGAAGCATATATGGCCACAAAGCACACAGGCTTAGGTTTGCCAAATGCAGACAGGGCTTTCTGGGCCCTTACCTAACTAACCCCTACCCGACTCTTGCTCTGAGTTAGAGCTGAGTTACATACCCAGTATCACACTCACAGTTAGAAAAGTAGAAACACTTTTCCTCTGTCCCCTTCCTCCCAGCCAAGAATGTGTGGCAACTCCATCAGTTATACTTAGAAGGAGGAGAAATAGTTTTTTCCTATCTTCTATCCCTCAAAGCATCAGACGTAGGAAAATTGGTTTATACCAAGAAAGCTTCCTCTGTGGAAATCTGTCTAAGCCTACTTTATTCCTGCATTGGGAAGCCATATCGCAGATCTAAATGCGATAGAATGAACTAGAACTAGTGGGTTCCAGAGCTGGGGGGAAAAAAACAAACTCATTACTGACCTCTCAAAGTTATAATGATCTCTGCAAACAGGGTCTAAACTTAGGAATCATATTTAGGTGCGATGTAGCATCAGATTTTTTTTGATGTATTAAAGAATGCATCTCCAGTCCTTAGGCCATCAATGTCTCTCCTTAAACAATTGTATTTCACCTTTTAGAATCTTTCATAGTCAGAAAACAAGGTTACTATAAGCCAGTTTTTGCTGCACTGATTTCAAAAGATGTAAGAATATTACTATCCTTCAGATGGAAAATGTGGCCTTGACTTTATGGGATAAACATCTTTCAGACAGTTTTCTAGTCAAGTTTCTCTGGTTTCAGAGCTGTATATATACCTGTCAACTGAGGAGTAAAGGGAAAAACCCAAGTTCGTTCCCACCCAAAGTCAGAATTCCTCATTGGCCTTAAAGTAGCAGTCACAAGACTTAGAGAATTGGATCTAGAGTCCCTTCTGTGGGGAATAAGGATACCTAGAGAACATTCCAGATGCCAAGAGGATGCAGGATTTCTGCACAACCTCTTCCCTTCTTGGAAGTCAAATGTAGGAACTGCAGGGCCTGTGCTCATCTGTGAACCTGCATCCTGGGCACCACTGCCAGGACCGGGTCTGACATGCCAGTGCCTTCCTGGGCTGCACAGAGACTCTCCCCCTTGTCAGTCAGCACCTTAGGAAACCATCATGGGCACAGAGCATCACATGAGTTGTTTCTCTCTTTAAAGAAGATTCCCTGGAAAGGATGCTTTTCCTCTCCTCTGCCTGCGCAGGAATTCTAACAGGAATGGGTGAGGATGGCAGAGGGACACAGTGCCTGTCTCGCCTCCATCAGGGAGAGCAGCCATACCAGGGATGACTGACTCTTTGAGCCTGTCCTCAGAGGATGGCGAGGCAGCTGGGCAGTGGAGGCCTTCATGGTAACAAATGAAAGCTCAGTATAGAGGAGCAGACATTGTCTACGTCCCTCCCACTGCTCACCTTATATATCTGTGTAGACAAATGTGATAATGACATGATTTCCCACCTGCCCTCCAAGAAAATGGTGACTCCCTCTCAAGTCAGCTACTGGAGAGAGGAGGGTTCTCATTAGCTCTGCAGTTTGCTCTTAAACTCTAGCAGGGAAATCTCCTCTTAACACATCAGCATGTAAGGTGAATAATAACTGTGGTTTTGCCAGACAACAGGTTGTCTAGCCTTCAACCACTGGGCAGTTGCCTGGCAGATGCACACAGTAGCTCCCTGGCTTCTGGCTCTGAGTGTTCCTCTCAGCACCTCTGAGTAAGTTGCTGCCAAGCACATATCCCTATGACAACACTTTGTAAGCCACGGGGCCCCCATACAGTGAGTGACCTTGCAGCTGTGCAGGGTTGCCATGGGTCACTTTCGCACCTTGGGAAGGTGTCAGTGTTTTCAGTTCTCAGGTAAGAGGTGTAGAACTGTTCCCGCCAGGGCTCTGGGATCGACTGGAAAGGACCACAAAGCTGGTCATCCCTGGGCATCTGGGCCACTGTCACCTGCTGACCTCTAGTATTTCCTTTGCCCTAGAGCTAGAGTCATGATAGCTGAGGTCTCTGGCCCTGCAAGAGTCACTAGGCACCCACCATGCCAATAAGGCTCTCCGCTGGCTCCCTGCAGTTGGCTGGGTGTTTAATAGTCACTGAAAATTCCCAGCCCTGCTGCACCCTAGAGGCAGGTCCTCTTGGTCCTCTCTATCCTGTGCTCCTATGTTGGTGGCATGTGAGGACCAATGGGTTCACTCAGAGATAGTGCTCCTGTGTCCCCCAACAAGCTCATGCCCTCTTGGGAGGAGAGAGACATACAAGAACAGTGGGTCATGGGCAGTACCAGCCTTAAATTCCCACAGGCTCATACTCAGACAATTGTATTACTGCCTTTTGTTTTTTAAGTGTTTTTTTTTTTATTCTTCATAGTTGAGTATTATTTGCAATTTTATTAGTTACAGTGCTATTAAAGAATATGTGTTCCTTTTATTATTTTATCAGATACTTATGTTTACTTGCACATTTTTTAAATCTTGAATATATTGTGTTTTGTTAACAAATGTAGTAATCAGTGGAACTCTTATGTTTTGATTATTAGCGGTTAAATACATTTTGTATACATGAAGCTTAGATTAATCCCCATCATCATCTCCTTTTTTTATATATGCCCCTATGTGTTTTATGCATTCCTCTTTGATCAGATTGGAATTTGAGCTAAAACTTAGCTTTGTACATTACGTGTGAGAGTTACAGACTAGCAAGTCTAATTACTTTGCCTTACCTTGAGTGTATGCCACAGGGTCAGATAACACGTTAAACATTTAGTTACACTGGATTACTCTGCCAAAGCTGACCTCCTGCTGATGTTCAGAGGTAACTGCAATCTGGAAAGAGATAATATCACTGCAGAAGGAATGTGACTCTACAAATAAACCAGGACCTCCCTGTGATTTGCCTTGTCTGCAGATGACCGATGGACTCCCGTGTGTCAGCCCTGGGCTTGCTAAGGAAGCTGCCTCAGGGAGTTGGGGGTCAGTTGCCGCTCTCAACGGGAATGCGGGAATGCCTCCTCTCCTTGTCAGAGATGCTGAACAAATAGCAAGCTCTGTGGCAGTCATGCTGGCCTCCTAATAATAACCTGTCAGAGTTGATGCACATGATTTTTGTGTTTTTTTTTTTTTTTTAAGAAACTGCCCCAGGGGTTCATTATAGAACAGGAGTGTGTATAGAGGACTTAGGTCCCCACATAGAGTGGCCGTTCTGTGGCGGCTACAACCAATTCCATCCCTCCTTTCCTGCAGACACACACCTGGCCCCTGGCCCCTGCCCTGTGTGTCCAGAGGAGGGGCTCTGGGGAGGCTGTGGAGCAGAGGGAAGAGGCCGGATGCATTGAGGATGGCACCTGGCAAGCCAGGCTTCCTTCTCAAAGGCCAGACTGCTTTCTCAGTGTTACTTTCTAAAGCTCTCTTTTTATGGTGTTATAAAGATGTATAAAGTTGGTATAAACAGGCTTGAGACCACTTTGATGTAAAAGCTGTCATAGCAGTTTTTCTTACAGTGGCACAATTCATTTGATTGATGGAATATTCAGTGATGCCATTTATGTCCTATCGCTTTTTTCTCATCCATCTTTATGCTATAACTCATATTGATTTAAGAAATGATTTCTCCTTTTGGCAAAGCGATCCCATTCAATATGGTTATAATAAAAGACTAATGTGAAACTGAGACTGTAGCTTGACTTATTTCAGGCCATGCATGGGGGCACAAGGTGCTGATCAGGCCCGGCCCAGAGGAGTCCCTTGGAGTGCATCGTCAGGCGGGTAGTGGACGATGGAACCGTGTACCAGCCCCAGCACTGTGGTCCAGCCTCACTGCACCACAGGGCAGGTCCTAGGCCTGGCCCAGGGCTCACACCCAACTCTGACATACCCTTCCTAACTTGGGCTAGTTTCTTAACTTCTGGGGCCTCAGTTTCCTTATCCGCAAACGGAAGATAATAGTAGTCACCTAGCTCATAGGGTGTGGTGGGGATTGAAGAGGATAACAATTGAAAGTACTTAGCACAGAGCCTGACATACCATGAAATGCCTGACAGTTTCAAAGATGATGCTTAATTCTGGAAGAGCCCCTGGAGGTCATGTAGTCCTACCCTGACCATTGACAGCCAGGACCTCAGAGGCTGCTGGGAGGCCCAGGTCCCACCCTGAGGCAGCCATGCTCAGCCCACTGGTCCAAGAGACCATTTTAGGGGCGGCCCCAAAGGCTTGCTATCCATCAGCACCAGGTTTGCCCTGGTAGCCACACTTCCAGCAATCCAATGTGAGATTGGTGAAAAGGCCACAGGTGAGGATGGGGGAAAGATGAGTATACTCTTAAGTGACAAACTAGGAGGGATGGGGAGGGGGATCTCTATAGTTTAGGCAGAGCCCTGATGCCAATGGCAGCTTAGAATTTGCACCTGGGCCCATCTCTAGCCTGGGCCTCTGTCCCCAGCCCAGCTAGCAAGTAGCTTTTCCGCTTGTGGGCACAGCCCCTCCCCACAGGTTCTACCATTAAAAGGTTGGAGGGCCTGGTACGCTCCTCAGATGGCTCATGCTAGTGAGGGTAACCCCAGCTTCCTCAGACCAGTGACAGCCACACATGCACTGGCATCCCCCACTGGCCTCCAGTAGTGCCTCACCCATGTCCCTTGGGCGTGACCACTTCATTGCTTCTAGAACCTCCTCCTGCCCTCCCTGCACCTCTCCACCTGAGGTTGGGCTCCTGGCCCTAGAAAGTTGCTAGCAAGTGTGAGGGAATGCCGTCTCCGGGGAGCAGCTCTCAGCCGTAGGCTGAGGAGTCGGGGCATAATGCCCCAGGCCCCTAGCCCCTGGGTGGAGCCACCCTGGTGTGAGTGCTGGTGGCTTCCCAGGGCTTCCCTGCAGGGTTAAGCTCCACTTGCTCTCGAATCTTCTCTCAGGGTCAGCTTCTTGGAGAACTGAAGCTAAGACACCCTAGACACCCTTCTTCCTGAGCCCCTTCTCCAGGCAGAAGGGTTGTCCTTGGCTCACCCCCTACAAGGCCGGGGGTGAGTGGGAAGAGAGTGCAGGTTGTCAGGTGGGCCCAGAGTCCTCACAGATGAGGGCTGTGCTGAGAGGCTGCTGCCCCGGTGTCTGTGGTTCTTCAAGGGCCAGGGCAGGCCCTCTGTGTGAGCTCTTGCTCCCAGGCCTGCCGAATTGCCCCCTCTCACAAGTGAACATTACCCACAGCTGGTCAGGCCCTGCTGGAAGAGCTACTGAGGCTCCTTTTCATTTAGTAGTTTGCCTCTGCCACAGCCAGCATTCTTAGCCTTTTAAGGACATGTGTGCATCACCAGTAACTTCTGGACTCTGAGCAGCATATCTGTTGGTGAGAGGGGACAGATGACACCGACCCAGAGAGATGACACCGACCCAGAGGGCCCATTCAATATTGGGCCACTTGTTCCTCCAGCAGAT